ATCTCTATCTCTCTCTCTCTCTCTCTCTCTCTCTCTCTCTCTCTCTCTCTCTCTCACACACATTAAATGTTTTGGCCCAATTCTAACTACCTGATTAAAACCGTCCAAAACGTGACAGTTTCTATCCTTGTTGATATGTTTTGTTGGCCTACCATCATCCCGAAAGGCTTGAGCTATTGGGATGTGGAACACTGACTGCTAATTTCGTCCGTCCGCCTGATATGTGGACTCTCACCACCATTTATATTAAATAGCTCAACTTTTATAATTATCTAAAGGTTGCAATTGAAGGGATGTACTATGGTAAGCTTAACATTTCTTAAACCTGTTAAGATGAGGGCTAACACATTGTGTAGGTTGTAACAATTTAAATTTTTAGTCCTCAAATGAAACTAATACTCTCAATGTAAGTCCATCTCTGTTAACTATTCTGGATTTGAAATGAAAATTTTATAGATGTCACTTCTAGAATTGTGATAAGATTTTGTTGTTTTGAAGGTTTTGTTTTCCCGTTTACTTAATGTTTGACAGGTTAAGATGCATAATCTTTTTCTATTTCTTCAGCTTCAAGACACAGAGACAACTTCAGGGGAGTCAGAGGTCAAGTTTCAAGTTTCTAGGGATACATTGGGTGCCATGCTAAGATCAATGGCCTATATCCGTGAGCAGCTTTCAACTGCTGTAAGCTTTCTCAACCAATTCTGCGTTTGATGTCTTGTTTTTGGTTTAGCTACTTCATAAATGCTGATTTATGGATCACAAAAAATTTCTGAAATGTTTATGTTCCCTGGTAAATGATTACTAGTTTGAAAGTTAGTGCTTAGAATCAAGTATTTAGGTTGTACGACAGAGAGAATTTAAGAATTTACCGGCCACTATAGGCCCAAAGCTGAAGAGAAAACCTAAGCAACCATACAAATAATTTATTGGTAATTTGATTTAGATGATGAACATCTTGCAGGTGTATCTCCAAAATTCCAAATCACATAGATAGTATTGTAATTTATTGGTAATCATCTGGCAATATTTTTTTTTTAATGGTAAACATAATATTTTATAAATAAAAATTATACTAAAGGGATCTCTCTCTCCCCACTTAGTGGGAAAAGGCTTTGTTGTTGTTGTTGTTGGATCTCTCTCTCCCCCTCCCCTTAAATAGATATCTTTTACACTTCATCCTAGATATCTTATTAGGTCCTTTCTGGTGACTTTTTTGTGTTTGGTTATTGTATTTTGATTTGATATTAATAATAGAGAAGGGAAAATGAGACGATACAGAGCGGATATGATGGGTATGAGTGAATCAGTGGTAGGAGAAAATACACATAGAATGATTGTTTAAAATAAACACAAAAAAATTACAATTTTTTTTTTGTTTTTGTGAAAACGAAATCTGAATCTCCCTTACAGTAGTGGCCATAGCAATTGAATAGATTTCCCTATCTATGCACACTGGTGGATATTGATGCTGTCTTCTGTATTGGACCTTAATTTGGGAAACCGAAAGTTCTTAGCATTAAACCCATTGAAGCTAAACTAGCACGCTTCACTCACCCAATGATACTTGATATTTCTCCTTAATTGTTGTTACTTAAGAATTAGCCCCTCTCCTATGTCTTGTTTGAATGGTCGTCACAAGTATTGTCTAGATTCTAAGCACTAGGGTTTCTCGAACTTCTCTGAGGACGGAAGTGAGAATTACCATTAGACTTACCCTCAGAACGGGGTGTGCCGGAACTAGATCCTTCACTAGATTATCCGGAATTGTAGCCACTCTGTTCGAAAGGTTGACTCTACCGGTGACCAAAAGACAACTGCCTCCTGTGCTCTTCCGCTGAGTGCTACCACTCTCATCACCAACATTGTCACTCGGGGCATTTTTGGAATCCTCAACGCGAAGTAAAGCCTTGTAGAATTCCTGGTATGTGGTACACCTGGCAGATGCCGCCAGAGATTGGAGTTGTTTGCAGTTCTCTTTCTTAAATTGGTGGAGCATTCGGATGGGTTGGCAGTGATGGCAGGACATTAGCGGGATAGGTCAGTTAACTTCCGATGGTACTCAACAACTTACATCTTACCCTGCATCAGGTCCATGAACTCGTCTCTCTTCCGGGTCATCATGAACTGAGTAGCAACAGTAAGTTGCTCAAAATCAGGCTAGTCGCCTTCATACCGCCTCAACAATGTCGAGGTGGCAAGACTCAAGGAAGAAACCTAGAACTAACAGAAGATTGATGTTCCACCTTAGGTGTAAAAGCCAAGGGATTCCCAAGACCTTTGCTCTAATACCAAACTGGTATCAGTGCATAACATAACGTGTGTGATGAATGCAGGGCAGCGTAAACCTATCAGAGATCATAGCATTAATTTCGGAAACCTAGGCCCTGAAGCCAAACTGACACACCCCAACCCAGATATCCAACCCTGGACACCCGAATTGAAGCGTGCTAAGGTGACAAAAGGTCAAGTGTAAAAGAATAAATTAAAGTAATAGTATAAAATAAAGTAGTGAGAACAGAGTACGTAGAGTGTGATGAACCATTAAATAAGTGTATGGGATGAAAAACTAGAGATACCAAACTCACATCGAAGCAACTAAAAATCTAAAGCGGAAGTAAACTAATGTAACACATCCGAAGATGTTAATTACGATTTACTAAGAAAAGTCCCTACAGTGATGTGGGAAGTCTATGCCACCATGCCTCGACGGCAAGAGCACCAAAGCCTACTAAATCCTGGAGGGGCGTAAAACAAAATGGGTTGGTATGTTCGAAAGAGAGATGATTTTTAGAAATCTTTATTTATACTCACACCTTTTGTTTAGCGCCCCTCCAAGATTTAGTAGGCTTTTTGGAGCTTAACGTTGAGGTGTATTGTCATAGTCTTCCCTCATCAGTGTAGGGACTTGTCTTTAGTAAATTGTAATTAACGTCTTTGGATGCGTTATATTAGTTTACGTCCACTTTAGATTTTCAGTTTCTCTGATCTCAGTTTGGTATCTCTGGTTGTCCATATACACTTATTTAAAATGGTTCATCACAATCCCTCTGCTCTCACTACTTTATACTCTTACTTTAATTTATTCTTTTACACTTCACACTATGACTTGGTCTCCCAAACAAACAACATGGATTGTTGTGGCTTCCTTGGAGGAAGAGGAGTAGACTTTCGTTGATGACAAAGAATAGGAATGTACGCAGGAACAAGGGGTTGATAGAGTTTATTGATTTACTACACTTATAGATGTATACCCAACATATACTGGGACTGTGCCTTCTTTTATTATTAATACAATGTACTTGATAAAAAGGAACAAGAAAAACAAACCTGGAGTGTGGCAAAATTAAAGTAGGAAATTCGTAGACATTGTGTTTGTGTTGAGTGATTTCTCGATTTCTTATACTGTTTACTTATGTGTAAGTTTAAATTGGCAGGCTGAGATCCAGTCAGAGTCCCTTGCTAAAAAGCAGCGCAAGTAAGGGCATCTTATTATTCTACTTCCCAAACTGTAACCCCAGGTGCATGTGACATCTGGTCTCCACGGGGGAGGGGGAGGTGACGACTTATCAAGTTTGGGGTGCTCGCAGCTGCTACATTTGTCACTTTGCATAGGCCTCCCCTTTTGTGTAAGATTGTTGTCAACATATTTGTACATGTAGCGCAAGAAAATCCAAATCTTCAAAGAGATTTGATAGGTCTATGTGGTGGAAGAAATTAGAGGGTGCCACTATTTGACATGACATGCTTGTTCAGAAGTTTCTTCAAACGGAATTGGTAGGGGTAATTCTAATAGCTGTAAGTTTGCACTTGTGTTTTTTTTTGTTTGTTTGTTTGTTTTTCTTACGTTGTAGCACAAGATGTGAATTCGATTGTTTTTCTTGACACTGTCAGTTGCAAGGAGAGTAAGGAGTATATAATTTTCTAACCATATTTCAGGGGCTCAGAGATCCATCTCGCTAATGTCTTTTATTAATGTTAGTGGAACTTGGATTTCTCTCTACGATATTGGTTTGTATGCAGTTTGGAAAAATAAAAAAGTAAATTATGGTTTGGATAGTTTCCACTCTTGAATTTTTCAAGGAGCACCTGAGGCTAGCAGTGTTGCTGTTGCTGGTCATGCCCTCGCAAGTCATCGGTACAAGGATCCAGCCCCATGATTTTCCAGCAGATAATCTCAACCCATAGAGGCCATTTTGGGTTCCTGCGATGCCTTGATTTGTCTACAAGCGAAAGCCAAATATACAATGCACTAGTCAGATCATAGCTACACATTTTAATTAATTGACTTCAGTTGAGGGATAATTGCTACAATTTACTCTTATTAAAATTATAATGTGGATGTCATGAAAGCAAAACGAACGAGAACGCGAAAAATAACTTAAGTTACACAAAAATATCTCAACTATTTAGCAAACCATAATGTCATACCTTATTGCTTAAATATTGGAATGTTATATATCAACTTATGAATTTATTGCAATGTCTAAGTTACGTTAAATTTTCTATTAAATTGATAGTTAAGTGATAACACAATAGATGCGGATCCCACATTTTTATTGAGGTGGAAGACAAATTTGTGGACAAGTAGATAAAAAATAATTTAAAAAATATTTTAATTATTTAATAATGTAAATGACCAGAAATTAAAAATTTTAATTGTCGGCACTTGGCAGGGGGCCATTTTCGTAATAACGTTCATCTTCATACCAATGCCCTGAAGGCTCCCAGACCCCATCCCCACCGCCACCGCCTCCCTTTGCTCCTAGTCCTGCAATTTAACGTTCTTTAGAACCTCTTTTAATTCCCAAACGCCGCGCTAAAAACTCTGCTCGCCGTCCTCCTCCTCCTCACCCCCCAACGAATCCGAATTCGGATTTTTAAAATCTAAACCCAGTGGTGGCGCTGAGGGTGGTGGTGTTTTTGTCTGGGTACCCGAAAAATACTACACGAACCCAGGTCTAAGTCCAGTAGCACTCTCCTCCTCAACTCCTGGTTGATTCTCATTTGTATCCAGCAATCTATCGACTCCTCCGCCGCCCCATTTCAAATTTCATGGCGTTTCACGGTGCTTTGCAATCGCTGCGATCGCTCAGCAGGGGCCCATCCACCAGGTATTCTTTCCCTTACCTTCCTTCCCCAATTTCATCATCTCACTTCTCAGCCCTTTATGCTCAATCCAATTCGTTGCATGATGACCGTCCGATCAACAACCAATCTACTCCCCACGAACGATTTGTTCTTGATCAACTCTCTAATCTGTTACCAGTACCTCTTAATAATTCGGCTCCAAAACAATTGGAACCGAGTAATTCGGAGAAGCCGATAAATGTTAGGGCCCCTGACGGTTTCTTGTTGCCGGATGAGAAATTGCGTGGTGTTTTTCTTCAGAAATTGAGGGGTACAACTGCAATTGAGCATGCTTTGGACAATGTCGGTGTCGATTTGAGTGTTGATGTTGTTGCACAGGTAGTGAATAGAGGGAATTTAAGCAGCGAAGCGATGCTTATGTTCTTTAATTGGGTGATTAAGAAGCCCGCCATAGCGAAAGATATCCACACGTATCATATAATCCTCAAAGCATTAGGCAGAAGAAAGTTCTTTACACATATGATGCACATTTTGCATAACATGAGGGCACGAGGTATAAGTCCCGATTTGGAGACCATATCGATTGTAATGGATAGTTTCGTGAGGGCTGGATATGTGTCCAAGGCAATTCAAGTGTTCCGAAACTTGGAAGAAGTTGGTTTGGATTGTGATACTAAGTCTTTGAATATGCTTGTACAGTGTTTGTGCCAGCGGTCTCATGTAGGTGCTGCAAATTCGTTTCTCAATTCCGTCAAGGGGAAGATACAGTTCAATGGTACTACGTATAATATTGTCATTGGTGGATGGTCAAGAAATGGAAGAGTTAGTGAAATGGAGAGGATTTTGGAAGTAATGGTAGCAGATGGGTTCAGTCCCGATAATTCGACATTCAGTTTCATTATTGAGGGTTTAGGGAGAGCTGGTCGGATTGATGATGCTGTTGAGATATTTGATAGCATGAAGACAAAAGGTTGTGTGCCAGACGCCAGAGCTTATAATGCCATGATTTCAAACTTTATCTCTGTTAGAGGTTTTGATGAATGTCTGAAGTACTATAAGGGTATGCCAAGTAATAATTGTGATCCAAATATTGATACTTATACCAAATTAATTGATGCTTTCCTTAAAGCCCGGAAAGTGGCTGATGCTCTTGAAATGTTTGATGAGATGTTAGGTCGAGGTTTTCTTCCCAGTACAGGAACATTAACCTCCTTTATTGAACCCTTATGTAACTACGGTCCACCCTATGCTGCGATGATGATCTACCAGAAGGCAAGAAAGGTTGGATGCAGAGTATCATTGAGTGCTTATAAGCTATTGCTTATGCGACTTTCTAGGTTTGGCAAATGTGGAATGTTGCTAAGCATTTGGGAGGATATGCAGGAATGTGGATATGGTTCGGATATGGAAGTTTATGATTATATAATTAATGGATTTTGCAACAATGGGCAGCTTGAAAGTGCAGTACTTGTCATGGAAGAGTCTGTGCAGAAAGGTTTTTGCCCAACCAGGCTTAGTTATAGCAAACTAAATAACAAACTACTTGCTTCAAATAAAGTAGAGCGGGCTTACAGGCTCTTTTTAAAAGTTAAAGATGCTCGTCGTTATGACACTGCACAGAGATTTTGGCGTGCTAAGGGATGGCATTTCTGAATTGACATCATTGAGGTGTCAAGTAAAGATATTTTATGTTCTTTGAGGGATATAGCAGTATCTTGCTTTTGTTCCTTAAGAGTTGGCTGCAATGTGTTTGACAAAATTCCTACAACTATGTTTCCCAAGGGGAAGTCTATGAACGAATGATAGGCCACTGCATTAGTTCATTTAATCCCCAGGAAGGCTAACCACTTCTTCATCTTGTCCCCATGACGAACAGTGGATCTGTCTCTGGCTGTTCTAGTAAGTATATGTGTGACTCTTTAAAATTATATGTAATGTGCTTTTGACAGCAATAACTCGTATCTTTAGCATTCAAAATATCAAATTGTTAGTAACTGGATAATTTGAGACTGGGATTTCTGGCGGATGGATATTTCATTATGATAACGCTTGTCGTGTTGATTATGGACCAATAGCTTATTGGTACAGGGTTGTCATCATGTTTGGCTAGTGTACATGAACAGGTTCCTGTCTCTTAAGTCATTACTTAAATTAAATTTCTTAACAAAATAATTTCGTTTGCAAGCTTGTCACCTGGAAATCTTTTGTATGAAATAAATGTTGTGTCAATAATGTTTAAACAGAATTTGTGAAACCGACCAATCAGAACCACTTTTGTCAAAGTGGCATAAGAAACTCATTAGACAGGTGATTAGTGGAGTTATTCCTTTTTCAATGATGTCAATTGTCAGGGTTAGCTGTATGACGACCACTTTTTTATTTCCTGATTCTTTTTCATTGCGTGAACATTACTACATATTAACAGATTTGATTTAACCTTCATGCAGGGAAGGCCAGACAAGACTGCGGTTACTGTATTACAGAGTCCTGAAATAATGATCTGCTATCCATTATATGGATATCAAATTAAGGGATTTACAAGAGTGAGATTTCCGAAATTAAAGTTTGATGGTTGCGGAGAAAAAGAGAGTTCCGAAGTGAAGCATGATGTGCTAGTGCTACTGAAATGCGAAGGTGATTGTGGTTTAGGAACTGGTACAAATGGACGAGGATGCTGACGATACCATGGGAAAGTATTGGTCTAGAATAAAGTCCTGAGAAAGGTTCAAGGTAAACGTTGATTATCTGATCAGTACTTAATAAATTTGAAATATCTTTTTGGTAGTGGGTTGAAGAGTGGTTTTGTGCGGCGGTGGTTTGTAGTCTTCATTTGAAAGTTTCCAGTTCAAAATATGAGTTGCCCAAACATTTAATGGATGGGCAGGAACCTAGCCTGTTCAGAATGGTTAAGGGGGGGCGTCTCGTCATATAGCAGGCAAGGAAAGACTGAAAACGGAAAACAAGCCAAAAGAGAAACCATTTTGTGAGTTCAGTTGTCTTGCTTATGAAACTTGACCTCTCCAGCCGTCCAGCGTCACTGTCATCGTGACATTTGAAAGAATAGCAATATTGGTGTATCATCAGTTGGGAAGATTCCGGGGCAGCTGCCGGACTTTGTTTTCACCATTAGCAATATTGGTGTTGCTTCCGTAACTACCAGTTGAATTACCAATTAATTAATGTCTAGCTAGCTCTTTCTGCAAATTCAGTGGTAAACTTTTCCCCTTGTATCCTATTAAACTTGCTCACTGTGATACTTAAAAAAATAAACCTCTCGTAAATGATTTTTGCCAAAGCCTAAGGTATTCGTATTCCGCCGTAAGCGCGGCGAGGCGGGTGACGTGAGCATAATTATTCAATTAACATCATGCTTGTGTTCATGCAAAAATAAGTTCAACTTAAGAACACATGCTTTTAGATTAAGTTTAGAATTCCAAATCTTTAGATCTGATATGCGGACCAATTCAATATCGATGGGGCTATTCTAGTACTCACACGAATAGGAAAGTAATCCAAATTTATCTGCAAAGGATTACTTTCCGCACCAATAAGAAACGACTCCAAGCAAAGTATATTTGACGAGTGATAAAGTAATCGGAGCAATGGTCATTAAAGGGTAAATTAAATTAAAGGCCAACCTTTATTTCCTTTAAATCTACCCGAGAGGTGTTATTTTTAGGGTACGAATATGGCTCTTTCTGTACGAGCTTTGCCTCTATTTTCTCTCTACATGTCTAGGGAAGAGGATCATCTTCTAAGCTTAGGATGAGGATTTTCCTGATCAACCTATCTGGGTCGTTCAAATTTAATTCAATAACTCCAAACAGAAGGTCTTCTAAAAATTATAATAATTACAACTGTTGGATAAAGTTTGAACGGTTTAAATGGACTAAGCAGGAGGATCCCAGGAGAGGATCCTCTTCCCATGTCTAGTGCAGACCAAGTATTGGACGAAATGTCACTTCTGTAATCATGGGTCATAGTTTTCATTCAATGGATTCTCTCTTGTCCGCTACAAATCCTCTTTTGTTCCCTCATAGTTTTGCAAGAAGTGGCCGCCGGCTGGTTGCAGTGGCGCAGCGTTCTAACACAAGGACACGACTTCCCAAGAACCTTCGCTACCCGCGGCGCACCAAGCTTCCTCCGGACCTCCTTGGAATCGACCCCTTCTTGAACAACACAAGCACTTCCACAGACACTTCATCTCGAACCGAAGAATTCGAGGCGGCAGCAGCAGCAGCAGATGAAGAAGGTAAAGAAGATGGCGTCATTGCGTGGGAATCAGATGAGATTGAAGCTATTTCATCCCTTTTCCAAGGGAGAATACCCCAGAAGCCGGGAATGCTGAATCGACAGAGGCCTTTCCCGCTCCCACTTCCTCACAAGCTTCGACCTTTGAGACTTCCAACGCCCAAGAAACATGTTAAGGTGCCGCCCGTATGCGACCAAGTGTACAAAAACCCTAATGCGCTTGTTGGGTTAGCAAGGGAAATCAGAAGCCTTGGAGCAGACGAAGACGTGGGACGAGTTCTGAACAATTGGGTTCAGTTTCTTAGAAAAGGCTCTCTTTCCATGACAATTAGGGAATTGGGTCATATGGGTCTCCCCGAGAGAGCTCTGCAGACCTTCTCTTGGGCTCAGAAACAGCCTCAACTCTTCCCGGATGACCGCCTTTTGGCTTCAACGGTTGAGGTCCTGGCAAGGCACCACGAGCTTAAACTGCCTTTCAATTTGGACAAGTTTGCTAGTTTGGCAAGTCGTGGAGTGATTGAGGCAATGGCAAGAGGGTTCATTAAAGGAGGAAGCTTGCATCTAGCTTGGAAGCTTGTATTGGTAGCTAAGAATAGTGGAAGAAAGTTGGATCCGAGTTTATATGCTAAGCTGATACTCAAGCTTGGGAAGAACCCCGATAAGCACAGGCTTGTAATGACCTTACTCGACGAGCTTGGAGAAAGGGAAGACATGAATTTAAGTCAGCAGGATTGTACTGCTATTATGAAAGTGTGCATTAGGCTTGGGAAATTTGAAGTTGTGGAGAGTGTTTATGACTGGTTTAGACAATCTGGGCATGATCCAAGTGTCGTTATGTATACAACTCTGATTCATAGCCGCTATTCGCAGAAGAAATACAGGGAGGCTCTAGCTTTGGTTTGGGAAATGGAGGCTTCAAATTGTCTCTTTGATTTTCCAGCTTATCGTGTGGCAGTAAAGCTTTTTGTTGCCCTGAATGATCATCCAAGGGCAGTAAGATATTTCTCAAAGCTTAAGGAAGCAGGTTTCTCTCCAACATATGATGTATATTTAGACATGATTAAAATTTACGTGGTTTCTGGGAGGCTGGCTAAGTGCAGGGATGTATTCAAGGAGGTAGAAATAGCAGGATTGAAGTTAGATAAAGAAACAATGTCTCAGTTGTTGCAATTAGAAAGATAAAAAAGGTTAGGTTTTTGAAATTTCAACTTTCGTGTTGTAACTTGTAACTTGTAATTGCTAATTACTGATGCTCTCATGTGGAGTAGAAGTTATTTCTGCCCATGTTCATTGGTTTTTGGAGTGGACTTCCGTTATCTTTATGATCTTCTATACATTGTAAAGTTTCATAGAGCCATCAGGGACATCGATCTGTTGGCATTCATATGTGTTCTCATATTTCCGTTCTTAATAATTATATCTAATGGAAGTGATAATGTTTTTGCATTAGATAATGAAATGACCACTCTATCACATCATAGATTTCTCTCAGTTATTGCAGATAATTGCTTTCTGCAGTATTTATTTCCTCTTTTTGTGTGGTAACAGTGAATGCTATCCAAAGCCGGAATTCCAATCCCGTCTCCCGCGCTTGCCTCCCTCGCAATCAAAACAGAAGGATATCTTGTTTGAGTTTAACTACAATATCTAAAATTCTTGAAAAGGTCGAACTGGCATCTGTCTGGTTACTTTTATTTTATATTCTAATTTTCTTTTGGGGTTTTTATGGCTGTCCTTTTTTGAACTTCTGTAAATTAATTTTGAATTCAGCGTGTCTTATTCTACAAGTATGACCTAATATTGGTGTAACTCCTGCTCCAAATAGATTCATAATGCTGTGATATTCTGTTTTTTTTTTATTTTTTATTTTTTAATAATATTGGTGCGACGATGGCGTACACTTAATCTCTGAACTTTAGGTAAGTTCAGTTGTTGACAAGATATTAACTGATTCTTGATTTCTTGTACATCTCTTCCAAACCTTCCTCTGTGGGATCGTGAGTGTGTATTTGTGTGTGCTCGTGTGTGTATATGTGTTCATGCAGCTGACGGTATACACCTGATCCCAGAACTTAAGTTTTATTGTTGACAAGTTATTAACTTTGCTCTATCCTTCACTTCTGTTAATAGCAACCCTCTGTGTGAGAATAAATGCTTATTTTCGATAATGTGCATTGATGCATGTGATGGTTAACTTTTATCTGTAAACTTCAGCCTTCAGGTAACTTCAAAGTGTTGACTAGTTAGAAACTGATGCTCTATGTTTGCAAATGAGTACGTATTTGTGCATGCATTTGTGTGTGGTGTACATGATGTTTTACTCTTGATCTCTGAACTTCTGGTAAGTTTAATTGTTGACAAGCTATTAACCGATGCTCAATTTTTTTGTACATATGCTACATTCCTTTGTGTGAGCATGAGTGTGTATTCGTGTTTTTGTCTGCTGGGGCAGATGATGGTTCACACTTGATCTCTGAACTTTATGAAAGTTCAATTGTTGACAAGTTATTAGCTGATGCTCTATCCTTTGCACATCTGTTCATAATAATTCTATGTGTGATCTGTGCCTGTTTACACCAGTGAGTGTTAGTTCAGATGATGCTACTATTACACCTTTATCTTTTATAGCGTTGCTGCTATTATTCATTTGTTAACATCAAAGGTGAACACTGGCTCATCTCATTCTTCATAATTCTCCACTTTGTGGCCTTTGCAACCACCATTTTTATCATTATTCTTGATTTTATTTTATTTTTATCTGCGTTTAACCTTTTAAGTGAGGTGAGTTTGAGTCGTGAACTTGTGTGAGTTTAGTGGGTTCTCACTGTTTATTTGATTGTTGAAGATGTAGGAAATCAGGGAAGGGAGTTTCAAAATTTACTCTTTCCACTATGTTGAGAGGGGGAGAAAGGGTAAAAGATGGTTTTGGCTGCTGTTATTTTAACATTTTGGGTTTAATTAATGAGTCTTCCAACAATTTTTTTTTGTCGTTGAGTTGGGTATTCTCTGGTTCTTTCTTTTTGTTTTTTTTTCCCAGTGCCATCCCTTTTATACTTCCTCTGCAATTTTAAGATCATCAAAAGCTAGATACGATTGTATCATTGCTTATTAGAACCTGTACAAGGACCACCTCCTTGGGTTTTTAATTCTACTGTCAACTTTATTTCTTCTAATAGTGGAGATCACTACAAGTTTTGTTGCAGACAATTTTCTTACCGGTATTGTGTTCAGCTGAGCTTCTGTGACTTTTGCTGCGTTAAGCTCTTAGTATTTGGAGAGACATTGATAACGAAGAAGCACTGGCGTAATTAACGCTTATTTGAATCTGAGCCAGCCACTGGGTTCATCCTACACTTAGTCACTTGCAGGTGAGTGCTTGGTTTGGTCACTGAAGAATTCATATTGTTTTTCTGTAATCTATACTAGTTCATATCCATTGTTTTGGCTTGTGCTTTAGACCTTTGGTCAATTTTCTGACAATAGAACTGGATACTGATAAAAGAAGGTAGATGTGAGCAAGAGAAGAATATGATAAAACGGACAGGGGGATTGGGATGATTGATTGATTGATTGAGACATTTATGCATAAAAAGTATGGGACAAAGAGTACTTTCAACTGCTGTTTTTGACAACATAGTGAGAGAACTGCAGGAAAAAATATTGGAGAGCCACTTGAAAGATCGGATGAAAGCTCTCAAACATAATTTTAATGTGAGCACAGGTAGGTCTTCTCGGCTCTTTGCCTCTGGGTCGGTGTCTGGGTCGGTGTGAAGCTCAAGTACATTTGTAAGAAAAGCCAGTCTCCCTCCTCTTGAACAGGCCAACCGTGTCCCTCTTGCAACCTCATCTCTCCTGCCTATATCTTGCAGCCTTCCCACCGTGCCACTGGTATAATAGGCCCATACATACATACATGCATATTTGAAGATTAGATAATAAACAACCCCATTAAAACTTGTGAAATCAAATAAAA